TAAATCTCATTCTCCGGAAGAAATCAATCGGTTTTTTTCATTCTTTGGTCAGTAGGTGCTCAAGCTTGTCCCTCATGTTTCAAATATAGTAATATATTTTGTTTTAGTAATATAAAATGTGAAATTGCCTTATTTTACCTCTGACTGAAGTTTCTAACACGACTGAGGTTAGTTTTGAAAATAATCTTACTTAACTGCTCCTGAAGAGGAAACTGCTAAATCGGAGCCTGCTATTACTGGTATCACTGTTATTAGAAACAAGGACTGTTTCCTTATCCTTCAAACCACTGCTCTGGCTTTCAGCTGGCTTTATGAACATTCCATGGGGCCTCACCAGTGTCCTGAGAATCTCTAGCACCTGGAAACTATGTATCAGGATTCATAAAAATTCCCCAATTTAACCTTTTAAGATATGAACCCAGGCAAAGAGCACTGCCTTCGTCTCTCCTCTCTGGGATGGCAAGTCCCACTGTACTCCTGCTGTTGATAGTTAGGATGAGAGTTGCTGGAGAGCCTCTACCAGGTCCTGTTTAACCAGCAGTTCTCAATCTTCCTAACACTGCAACCCTTTAATATACTTCCTCATGTTATGGTGACTCCCAACCTCAAAATTATCTTCGTTAGCCTGGCGACAGTGGTGCACACCTTTAATCCAAGCATTTGGGAGGCAGAGGCAGGGGGATCTTATGGGTTTGAGGCCAGCCTGGACTACAGAGTAAGTTCCAGGAAAGCCAAGGTCTCCAGAAACCAAAATCAATAAAATAAATTTTTTTTGGTCGCTACTCCATAACTGTAATTTTGCTACTGCTACGAAATGTCATCTAAATATATATGTTTTACTGATGGTCTTAGGCAACTCCTATTAAAAGATCATTCAACCACTGATGGGGTTTTGACCCACAGGTTTAAGAACCACTATATTAAACCCTACTGTCACTGCCACCATGGTGTTACTTTCTAATTTAGAAAGCGAACTTACACTTTTCTCAAACATGTCAGCCTGAGTTAAAAAAAAAAAAAGAGAGAGAGAGAGAGAGAGTTTCTTAAGCACTAGAAGAGAACTTAGAGGGACATTTTGTCCAAATGACCAAATAAATTGGAGAAGGTAACTCCAACATATAAAGCAATGCTAGCAGATACAGGGTATCACGGAATATAATACACTCACTTCCTACCTCACTTTTAATATTTTTGTTATTGTTTGTTGTGGGTTTTTGGTTTGTTGGGGTTTTTTTGGTTTGTTGGTTGGTTTTTGGTTTTTGAGACAGTATTTCTCTGAGTAACAGTCCTGGCTGTCTTAGAACTGACTCTGTAGACCAGGCTGACCTCAAACTCACAGAGATCCGGCTGTTTCTGCCTCTGAGTGCCCAGACTGGGGCTGCACCACCAGGCCTGGCATAGTTTTTCCTTTTATACTTCAGATTCTTCCACTGTGAAGACATCAAAGTTTGACTAGATGCAGAACTGCCTCTACATGAGGATATACCAGTGATGGCAGCCACTTACACTGGGTACTGTGTGTGGTTTGAACCTTACATGTAACTATTACTCATCAAAACATGACCTGGTTAATGCTGTTTCCATTATATAAAGGAACACACTAAAGGTAAGGTAAAGTAACTTTCCTACATTCAATCAGCTAGAAAATGCCAGAGTTGGTGTTTAGCCCCAGGGCTGTCTGGCTTCCAAGTCTGTGATCTTCACTGCTGCCTTAGAAGTCTGGAATGGAGGGTACAGAAAATCTAATCAGTCCTGAATTGAAAGAAACTTAATCAAGTCATGTATCTTTCTTCCCTGAAGTTTTCCCAGATGTAAAATGAGAATGGTATCAATGCCTTCTCTCAGCATAATGAGGATTCAGAAGCTCATGGGATATCATACATATATACACACAGAATTCCATTTTAGCTAAAAAGATCTGTGGACACACAAAACATGTCCATGAATGTTTATAGCAGCCTTATTCACACTAATCAAAGAACAGAAATGGGAAATGCCCACCAGCTTGTGAATGGGTAAACAAACTGCTATATACAACAATGAGCTATTTCTCCATCATAACATGGGGTGAGTACTGATACATGCTGCAACATGCATGAACCCAGTAAACACAGCACTAAATAAAAGAAGGCACTCACACAAAAGGCACAGGGGTTCTGGATTATAGTGAAAAGTGTTTGCTAATGGCTACAACACTCCTTTTGGAAAGGTGAAATGTTCTTTAAGTAGACAGTAGTGACGGTTGCATAACTCTGTAAGCACAGTAAAACCACCCGACTGAACACCTCTAAAGGGTAACATTTATGTGTATGAATTATGTCTCAACACAGCTGTTTTGTTTCTGTTAAGAGCAACCTTGGAGCCCATGGCAGCCAAAGCAAATATATGCAAAAATAAGGTGGTGCATGCCTTTGGTCCCAGCACTGGAGAGGCAGAGGCAGGCAGATCTCTGAGTTCAAAACCAGCCTGTTCTACAAAGAGAATCCCAGGGCAGCCAGAGCTTCAAAGAGAAACCCTGCCCTGTGGGGCGGGGGGGTGAGGAGGGAGCAAGCAAACCTCATTAAACACAATGCAAAAACGAGAAACAAAACATGGCCTTCTGCCACTTCTGGTGGCTGCTATCTTGTCCTATGAGAATTTTAATTCCCTCCAAAGTACTTAGTTCCTCTCGCTCCTGAATACCCGTTAATAATAAAGTGCAATCTAAACTTGGTGCTGACAGAAGCCTCGGGGACTTGTCCTGCTTGCGAGGAGAAAGGAGGAGGGGAAGCCACATTCAAGGATAACAGGAATGTAGACCTGGTAGGGTCACCTGGAAGCACCTCGCCGGGATTTCCTACAACGGGACAGCTCTAAAGGCAGTGAGCAGTCTGCACGGGCGTGTGCTACTCCCTCTTACCAGAACAGGGGTTCTCAACCTTCCTGATGATGTGCCCCCTTCATATAGTTCCTCAGGCTGGGTGACCCCAGCCGTAAAGATTATTGTTGCTGCTACTTCGTAACTGTAATTTTGCTAGTTATGAATGGTAATGTAAATATCTGTGTTTTCCGATGGACTTAAGTGACTCCTATGAAAGGGCTGCTCGACCTCCAGAGCAGCCGTGGCTCACAGGTTGCAAACCACAGTTGTAGAGCGTAAACACAGGGCTTCTCTGGCAGCTAGGTAAGCACTCTACCTCTGAGCAGTATCTACAGCCCACATTTTCCCATTTTAATTTCAATAGTACTTGTTTGCAGCAAAAAATTTTAACTTCACTTTAAAGTTAAGGAAACGGAGGCATGAACAGGTTCATCAGGTTAACAATACGCAGAGTCATTTCCAAGTTCTGTATCGTGGCATGTTAAACATCTGCTTTCTAACTTCCTCCATCTTGCTCATGTATCTTTTACCACATCACATAACAGCAGGGTCGAGTCTGCACATGAACCTGGCCCAAGAAAATTTAATTTCTCTCTGATTGCTCTGGTTTTTGTTTTGCATTCTTTCCATAAATTCCATTTGAAACACTTGCTCAGAATTATATTAAACGTTTTTGAACAAAGAAAGCAATCTGGCCAGACTTCTCTAGTTAATTTTTCATGAATAATGAAAGACTCAAAAACCTATAAAATTTTTACAAGGATAGAAATTCCCTTCCCAGTTACTAAAAAGGGTTTCAGAGCTGATTCAGAAATGCTGATATGGAGCTGGCCCTGTGAAATGCCTTCTGGACTGTGCTACTCTTGCTTTCCAGGCAAGCCAACAGTGATAGTGTCTCTACATGAATCCAGAAAGCTACCTGGCTTTCTCTATCACTGTATCCTCACATTTCTCAGATTTGCTGGAATTTCTCTACAAGTAGCTCTTTTGCAAGCTACACAATATCATCTCTTTTTCTTCTTCCTTTCTCCCCACTAACAGTATTTAATTCATGCTTTCCTTGGGAGTCAGGAAGATCCTCATACCTGTCTCACCATCCCAAAGCAAAGCAAGCAACTGTGACAGCAAATGCTATCATGTGCTGTCAGCTATCACCTTGGTGCAAGATCTGAGCACTTACCACATCTGCCTCCAGCCTTTCTGCAAGACCACAGAAGGTACAGGGGCATAGGGCTGGGACAAGAGGCCACAATTTTTTCCTAGTAACTAAAGAATATCTAGTCTTGTTTTTAGCATACAAGAAACATTAAGGTGCAATAGTAAACCCAGGTCTTTTTTTTTTTTTTTTTTTTTTTTGGTTTGTGTTTGTTTGAAACAGGGTTTCTTTGTGTAGCCCTGGCTGTCCTGGAACTCGCTCTGTAGACCAGGCTGGCCTTGAATGAACAGATTCACCTGCCTCTGCCTTGCCTCCCCAGTGCTGGGATTAAAGGCAGGCACCATCACCTCCTGCATTTCCCAGGTCTTAATTTTTAAAAAGCATGTAAAGTTACAGACCATCCCCATATTTATTTAAAAGGAATGTGCTGTATTTAAATTAGGTTTTACTCATTTAACTCCCAACCACCTTCTTTGCGATGATTAGTCTTAGCCTTAGTTAATTACACTTCTGACATTATCCTATAAATGTGTAAGAATTTTTACTTGATGTGGTGATAAACCCTAACTATGGACACTCCTTTCATAATGTACACTCATCTCCCTAAGCTGTTCAGTTAAAGACAGCACCTCTAAGTACTGAATTAGTGAATCAGCAATTTTACAAGTGACAATGGACTTTCCGTAGGCAAAGACCTTTAGAGCCCGAACAAATACCACATGTCATCAAGTGCAGCACCTTTATCTTAAAGGTGAGAACATTAAGAAACTGTTTCACAGACGGTCTAACCATGGCATCTTGGCTCCCTACACCTTTATTATACTTGTTGATATCACCTGGGCTCCATACGCAAAGCCGTAGTTCATTCCCTAATCTACCTAGTGGAAGGAAAAAAAACTTGACTCCTTGCACACATACCATACCCTGCCAGTACAGAAGCGACCTCCACATTTAGCGCTTGATAGTTAAACCCTTGTGACTCACCCTGGTGAGTTGATCCAGCAGCCTTTGGTTCTGCTCTGACAGCTCCTGGACGGCTCGAGTTTTCTCCCGATCTGCCTCCCGAAGGTGGACCTGCTGCCTCTCCAGCTCATCCTGCAGCTGCTTCACATCAGTCTCCAGCTCGGACACCCGTCCTTCCCACTCCCCCTCTCGATTCTCAAATCGTCTTCTCAGTTCATGCTTCTCTTGTTCTAAGTGCTGGGGGGGAAAAAAAGGAGGATTTAAAAACTTGAAAATCCAAAGCCTTTTTCCTTTTCCCATTTTTCTTTTTTCCAGACAGGGAACACAACAAAACACTCTTATCACAGAGGGCATGTTGCCCAATTCACAGCTACAAAAATATTCTCCTCTTCTTGGAACACGGAAGGAGTTGTCTGAGAGAAAACATCATTCCTACTGGAAACACTTAATGTTTTGTTTATTCTCCCTGGGCATGAGGTTCTAGACTTGGGACTCAAATGAAATTTAACTAGTCATCTTTTGATTAAACTATAGTTTAAGCAACCTAAAAATGAGCCCAACAACCAAAATACTCATACTTTTTTTTTAAAAAGAGGTCTCTCCTGGAGGCATCGTTCATGCTCAACACCAGATAGTTACAAGCACTGAGGTGACTAGTTCAGGGTCAGTACAAGAAAATGACAGAGCTGATTTATGTTTAAGCTACTTGATGTATTTAGTGCTCCAAATCATAGCTTAATAGGTATTTGTTGCTATATATATAATATACTAATACATTTCCAAAATATTAAGGCAAGTTCAGTTTCAGGCCTTATTTTATGCATGTTGCTTGGTTTGTACACACGTCTGTGCACACGTGTGCCTGGTGCTGGAAGTGAGAAGGTGCTGGATTTCCTGGAACTGGAGCTAGATGGTTACAGGCTGCCTTGTGGGTGCTGGGAACCAAACCCAAGCCCCCAGGAAGGAGTCAGTGTTCTTCACCACCGCAGCATTTCTGCAGCCCAATGAGACCTATTTTAAGCCAGACATTATTACTAAGCCCTGCGTGCTTATTTCTGGCTCATCCTTTCATTCTTGACTGGTTACTGAGGCAGAGAAACTTTCTGAGGGGCACTGGTGATGAACAAAACAAACACAGTCTTTGTGTTAATGGGTTTTCCTGCTAGTGGAGGGCAATAATAAACCAAATTGTGTGTGAAAAACAGCACACAAAGTAAAGATGGTTTCAAGTAACTCAGCTAAAAAAAGAGTCCACTAGGATACAAAGTGAATAAACTGTAATTAATAAAAAAAATTTAAGAAATAATAACATTCCTTAATGGTAAATTAAAAAAAAAAAAAAAAGAGTCCACTGGCTTGAAGGAAACAAGCCTATCTTTTCACTTGTGTGAGATAAACAGCAGTTCAGATGAAAGTATGTTCTCCTATTTAAAAAGCAGTATGTCCAAAAGCCAAAAACTTCAAGTCTCATTAAAGTAACAATACTCAATCTTTGGTGCACTCGGGAAAGTTCTAGTGTAACTATCCAAAATTAAACTCCTGAGGACATTAGTGAAGTCAGTGTTCAGCAAAAGTTTCAAATTGACCACATTAAGGGGACCACTCATTCGGTTAAGGTCACTCTAGTATACAGGTCAAAAAAAGTCACATAAATTATAAAGGGAAAGGGAGCAACAAGGGAGAAATGTCTACTGCCCAGCGTGTAAACTGCTCTATGCTATCCTGATACTGTAAGACCTGCAAACGGAGGCTGTTCCAGTCACTTTAGAAACTTCACAAACATAGGATGCAGAAATAAGAACTAACTGCAAGCCTAAAACTGCAATACTTAGTTTTATCCAACATGAAAACTGAGCAGAAGGCAAAAGCAAGAACTCAGTAACCAGTGTTACTGAGAGGCCAGATAAATTAGGCTTGTGTTCTAAAAGAACAGAGAGACTTAAAAATATTCATCAAACAGCTGCTAGTGAGCAGCCCTTCTAAGCAACTGAAACAATCCAATCCACTTGAAGGGCGGGGTTCAGACAGGTGGTGCTGGTTGGTCTAATCTGTCCTTACATTTCTTTAACAGGAAACAACTCCCCATTTCAGGTGTCCCAACCCTTTGATAAAGGATAAGCAGAAATTGGCCTTTTGTACAGAATACAGCCTTTGGTCTACTCTAAGAAATTTCTCCTAGAATTATATTTTCACTTAAACAGTAAGTTAACCAGTAAAGTCTAAGGAGAATGTTAACAAATATACATATATTTATGCCTGTGCTTTCTTGTTCTCCAGGGTTCTATGATACTTTGAAAATTAACACCAAAATTATCAAGGCCACCAAAACAATAAAAGTCCAAGAGGAGCCTAAGAATACATAACTAAATGTAACATGGAATTCTGGAACAGAAAAGAGACATTTCGTACAAACCTTGGCAGTGTAAGGACTTTATTAATTATGGCATATGTTAATATTATATGTCTGAAACAAGACAAAACTGGATATGGGGAATGCGGATACTCTATTGGCATTCCAATTTTTCTCTAAATGTAAAAACCAACCATTTAAAAAAAATCAACTTTTAAAACAACAAAATTAGTGTTAAGTAAAATAAGATACTTGTAAAGTAAAGTCTAAGTAAAATAGGTACTTGTTGAAATGTATTTTTTGCAAAACTAGAGTGACACCATCCTCCTAAGTCCAGGCCACAGTTCATGAAAACCACCAGGGAAGAGCAGCGAGCACTGAACATACACCCGGGTCCCAGGCCCTTCTCCAAGTCTAGCAGTGACTCCCAGAGACTCATTTACGTCTCCCTCCATCCCTGTCTAAGAAAAGAGAGCATGCACGAGAGAGAGAGCACCCAAAGCAAGAGAATCGGCCTAGGGTGAGAACAGGAAATAGAGCAGAGAGGAGAGACCACTTTTGAAGAAATGGATAATCCACCCTCTGCCAGAATGGAAAAAAAAGGGGGGGGGGGAATCTGTACAATAATCTCCAGAGACAAACGTATATAAATAAAGTATGTTAGCTCATATTGTGGAAAAAAAAAATAAAGACCTGGGTAGATACATGTTTTCAAACCTACAGAACTAATTATTGATATAAAAGAAACAACCAAAAATGCCTTTCACTTAGACTTTTAAACATATGAACAATAAAATATATTCTAGTCAGGCTATATGTTAACCTTTAAAGCATTAAGTTAAAGACCATTAATATACCTTTAATGAAATAATAGTCTAGAATCAAATGCCTTTTGTTTGTTTGTTTTTTCCAGACAGTGTTTCTCTGTGTAACAGCCCTGGCTGTCTTGGAATTAAACTATATAGACCAGGCTGGCCTCAAACTTACAGAGATCTGCCTGTCTCTGTCTCTCAAGTGCTGGGACTAAAGGGGCGTGGCACCACTGCCCAGCTTTTACGTTTGAAAAAAAAAACAAAAACAAATAAAATACTGTGTGTGGCACACAGAGCTGGAAAGACACCCCAGAAGAGTAGGAGAGGAGAGATCTTGGAGATGGAGTGTTTGTTCTGAAATTAGAAAGGTGACAATTTTGACAAGCCCAAAATAATATCAGTCTCTGAGACCACCAACCACCACCACTACTAATCTTCGATTTCTGGATCCAGATCCCACTATGCTGCTCATAGCGGCCTCAGAAGTCAATATCCTTCATAGTGCCTGGAATTAGAACATGCCAACATGTGTCTAACCTCCAAACCAATTTGTGAGGAAATGTGTTTGGCGTCAATGTCTGACAGTTCTCAGAAAATAATAAATTCTTATTAAAGTAGGGCAAGGACCTGGGTTTGGTTCCCAGCTCCCATATGGTGGCTCATAACCACCTCTAACTCCTTTTCCAGATTTGACCTTTGTGGGCACCAGGCATGCATTTGGTGCACACATGCAGGCAAACACTCACATACGTACAAATAAAATTTTAAAAAAGAGTACACAGGGAGAGAAATTCATTTGTAGGCATCAGATCAAGCAGACCCAAGTAACTTAGTCACTCTCAACTATAGCACTAGAAGAATTAACAAGGGCACAGAGTATCTGCTCAGGGGTAGTGGTATTCTCAACATCATCAACTAAATACATTCGTTAGTTAGTTAACAAGCAACTAGCGAATATAGTTTCAAGTGTACACAAAAAAAATCTTAGAGTTGGGTACACTGCACACCTATAGTCCACTAATTGGGGACTGAGGCAGGAGAATCAATCTCTATCTATCTATCTGTCTATCTATCTATCTATCTATCTATCTATCTATCTACAGGTTTCTACCTATCTATCTATCTATCTATCTATCTATCTATCTATCTATCTATCTATCTA